GATGCTGTGCAGCTGCGAAGTCGTCTCTCTACTATTCGTGATGGTGTCCTTCTTGTTAGTCTATACAACGATTACCTTCTCCGAGTGGAACTAAAGTACCATCCCTTTAAAGTCAGTTTGCAAGCTTATTTCAACACACTAGTTTTTATTCAGTAAAAATGGAAACTTCGATTTAGGAAGGTGATCTGCCTGAAGAGGGTTGCCCTTACCTTAATAGATCTCTACGAGAAATGATGGTGTCGCAAGAATGTACTCGATGGATCAGACCACAGACATTCGTTTCATTGCCATTGACAAACCTTAGTGAAGCTTTAGACGCACGTGGGCCAAGGGCTTTCACTGCACGGGAGGTAAGATTTTTGAATATCAGGGTTTTTCTAAGCTCACTTTTTGGATATAGGAATAAGTTCTGTCAAGAGTCTTGTAGTGTGATTTACCTTAGAAACACTTGCAGCATTCAAATAGCTAAACTTTGGGTCTCCCTCGAAATTACTCTTCATATTTATTTATTCTTGACTGACATCTTAGAATTATTCTCGCTCTTTCAAATGAAAGAAGCACAGGTTTTTTCAGATTGAGAGTAGGGCTCACAAGCCTCAATTCTTGTTGGAGAAGCTAATCACAGTCGCATCACATTACTCTTTGGTGAAAATGGCCCGCGAAACATTGGAAGAGTTCATGAGCTCAACGCGAGATCCACAAGTGCGTCTATATGTTAACTGGGAGAGTTGTAGCCTATAATCTAATTTTAGGTGCATTGGCGTTGGTTGCGCTGCTCTCCAATAAGCTCTCAGTTTATGGTAATCATGACGAATCGAAATTTTGACTATGTTGTGGGAAAGTGCGTTTTGTCTAATCTACTCTTATTATAAAGTCAATCTAAGTTGTTAATTTCCAGAGTAACTTATTACATCCGTGTGACTGCGGATTCTGTAAGTTTAATCTCAAAAGATGGTCATACAATGGAATGTTATCGAGATCCTCATCAGCTGATGTATGCTCTTAAATACATGGTACGT